ACTTTGTTTGGCCTTCCAAAAGAGGACACGACTACAAATCAGTGGTTAAGTTGTATTTACAACACTTTTCCAGAATAGTTTAACCCAAATATCCAGATGTGTGCAGCACATTTTATGGAGGGCTGTTTACTAGGGCTGAACGATTTTGGAAAATAATCTAATTGCGATTTTTGACCAGTATTGCGATTGCGATTTAATATGCAATTATTTTTTAAAGCTCTTTATGTTCTGTATTATTCAACAGAGACGAGCTATAAATATAGTAAGACCAACACAATATTAGATAGATTAAACATAAATGTTCTTTTCTGTAGGCCAGGCCTATACGTTACGATGAAATTAGGTGATGCATGAATTGATATGAATGACATTTTTATTTAACAACTACAATCACAGTATATTGACTGATTTGTTGAACTTCCAATGTAAGCATGTAATAATTATGACAGCATAAAGCACTGACAAATATGCCTGTTGTAAACATTAAAATGAAAGTCAGTAAAAAGTCACACAAACTAAAGTAGATTGCAGAAATATAAAAACAAATCTGTTGCTTTACCACACTACTTTAGGTAATTCAAAGTCACTGTAATAAACATGTAAACATGTGGACTGCACTTTTTAAACACTGTCTGTTAACTTTAGACAGACTTTAAATAAATAAATAAGAATATATGCACCGTAACACTGTTACTGCTTGAGTAATTTCCATGTGCCGTTTTGAAGTACGTTCATATATACGCTTTCAAACATTTCTGCGTGTAGCGTGCCAGGGTTGCTAGGTTCTCACAACAAAACCCACCCAATTGCTACTCAAAACTAGCCCAATCACGTTTCGAGGGGGATCCACCGGTAAAAATCGCGTTCCAGGGGGTAAAATGCACGTTTTTTGGAGGGGTTCCCCAAACAGCGGACTTGGCAACACTGTAGCGTGCCAACTTGATGCTTCCTATGAAGACTGCTTAGATGTGTTCGACTTGATGCAGCGCTGCTTAGAACGATCGGTGTGTGTCATCAAAGTACTGCGAGAGCTATAAGAGCACGGACGTCTCCTTATGCATTCTGTCGCCGTACTTTGATGTCATACACCGATCGATCTTCAAGTCGAACACACCTCTTTACTCTCATGTGTCACGTGACAGAGTATAATCGCAGCCTCCGTGGTTGAAAAATCGCATTTTTTCATATCGCGATATTATTGCAAATGCAATTAATCGTTCAGCCCTAGTTCAAACAACTTGTAAAAGTGCATGTTGCATCCGATGACCCCTTTAAGTAATCGTTCAGCAACCAACTAGTTGGCGTAGGTTACTCAATGCCTATCCGTGATTCTTGAGTCAACTGATGGGACTGAATATGCTAAAGGTTAATAAATGTGTATTAACCTGTTCCCATAATAGGTAAAAGAAATGGCTTGTGCTGCAAGACGCCACCGTTTCACTGCTGCGGTTTACCATCATCTCTGTGCAATAAGGATTCAGAGAGCTGTGCGAGCACACTGGGCTCTTAAATCCGCCAAGAGGAAGATCTCTTTGGTCCTATACATCCAGGTACATTTAATCATCAAAATAAAATAATTTCTTAATTACAGAGAAGGAAAATTACATGTATTTGTTTTGAAGTTCACAGATTTTCAACCAGCTTTGTATTGTTACAATGTTGGTTGTATATGTAAATAAAAAGGTGTACTTTTTATCTGTTAACCTGCATTGAGATACTTGGGGTGATAAATAAATGGGGATATTTTGGTGCAGATAACAGAGAAAGGGTTCAGGGCTTTTGTGAAAATCACAGATTTCAGTGTACATTTCTCTCTTTCTCTCCCCCACTTTTCTAGCAATGTTTTAGGGCAAAACTGCAAAGAAAGAGATACCTTAAAGACAGAGAAGAGATCATCAAGTCCCAGAGGGCAGTGAGAACTTGGTTACATCATCGCAACAAAGCTGCTGCTACTATCCAGTATGCAGTTAGGAAGCTCCTTCTGAGACGCCGCAAGGAGAGGCTACAACGTGGAATAATAAAGGCCCAGGTATGGTGTCTTAAAGGGATAGTTCACCCAAAAATGAAAATTTACATTTACAGTTACATTTAGTCATTTTGCAGATGCTTTTATCCAAAGCGACTTACAATTGGGGAATACATAAAGCAATTCTTCTTAAAGAGGCAAACGGACACAGGAAGTTTTAGGTATTGTTCAAATAAGTACTTTTTTTTTTTTTTAAGGTCCCATATTGTACACCTTTCTGGAGTTTTATTTTAGGTTTTGATGTCCTTAAGAATATATATTTGCGGTATAAGTACCAAAAACCGTGGGCGGTGCTCGGGGTGGTGACTGAAGGCAGTGACTAGTTCTGACGTCAACTTTTTACGGACTTTTTACAGTCACAACAGTTCGTGAAAAATAGCTAGAACTTTAAGCAGGCTGTGTGCATTTTACTGTGGACTGACTGTTTTGAAACTTATAAAAAAAATGCTTGTGATACAAAGTTTCAGAAATCGGTTGAGATTCAGCATTTTGGATAGGGGTGGGAAGATCATTCCACCAGCCAGGAATGGTGAACGAGAATGTTCTGGAAATTGATTTTGAGCCTCTGTGTGATGGTACCACGAGGCGTCGCTCACCAGCGGATTTCAGACTTCTGGAGGGGATGTGTGCTGAGCCTGTGGCTGTTCTATATGCAAGCGTCAATGTCTTGAACTTGATGCGAGCCGCAACCGGTAGCCAGTGCATGGAAATAAAGAGAGGTGTAACATGGGCTCGTTGAAGACCAGTCATGCTGCTGCATTCTGAATCATTTGTAGAGGTTTGATTGTGCATGATGGAAGTCCAGCCAGAAGAGCATTGCAATAGTCCAGCCAAAAAATGACAAGGGCCTGGACACGAAGTTATGCAGCATGCTCTGTTAGGAAGGGCCTGATATTTCTGATATTGTGCAGTGCAAACCTGCATGATCAAGCTGTCTTTGTAATGTGGTCTTTGAAGGTCAGATGGTCAGCAAACATTAGGATGGTGATATAGTGAACAGCTGGATGGTGATATAGTGTATATGGAGAAGAGGAGATGTCCAAGAACTGATCCCTGAGGAACCCCGTTACCAGTTTATGTGCTTTGGATACCTCCCCATATACAGTGAAAACAGCATGAGAGACAGGCCAAGGAAAAGGTGCAAATGATTAAATGAGTCTAATTGCATAGCTTTAGTAAAGCAAAACTTGAATAGTGCTGCTCTCACTGCTGCCCTCTAATGTTCATTTAGTGCTCTGTTACAGGGATTCTCAGACTGGTTTGTCAACCTAAGCCTTTGACCTAAAATATTTAAAAGTACCCTCTAGGATTTGAAGTGATTTTCACGTAACAGTGTAACAGTACATGCACATATTCACGGTTCTCTTAGTTAATGGTCACATGCAGGTAAACAAATAAAATTGTGGCGAAATCATCAGCAGTTATAGAAGTGGTGGAGGGGGACAGAGGAGAGAATTGAATGTCTTGAAGAGATTACGTGTGTCTGTAGCGCTGTTGATCTTATTGTGGAAGTAGGAAGAATTGGCAGTATGGACTTCAGCAGAGAAAGATGAAAGCAACAACTGATACATACTCAGGTCTGACAGATCTTTTGATTTGCACCATTGTCTCTCTGCTGACCTGAGTTTGGTCCAATGCTCACGAAGAACATCGGATAACCAGGAGTTAGAAGGGGCAGCCCGTGCTGGCCTGGAGGAGAGAGGACAAATATAGTCTAGACAAGAGGTTAAAGTAGAGCATAAAGTGTCCGTTGCTGCATTCACATCCAGAGATGAGAAATGGGTTGGTGAGGGAAGCGAGGAGGATACTACAGAGGAAAGATGTGAGGGGGAAAGGGAGCGTAGGTTTAGTCTAAAAGTAACTGGTATAGGGGTTGGTGGCACACAGGTAGCAAAATGTAGTTTAAATGTAATGAAGAAATGGTCAGAGATATGAAGGGGTTTTTCCAAAATGTTATCTGCAATACAGTTGCGTGTGTAAATTGAGTCAAGTTGGTTGCCTGATTTGTGTGTGCTTGTAGTGGTAAGTCGTTTGAGATCAAATGAAGCAAGGAGTGAATGGAAGTCTGTAGCATAAGGCTTGTCCAGATGAATGTTGAAGTCGCCAAAGACTAAAAGTGGACTGCCATCCTCTGGGAATGAGGACAGCAGCCCATCCAACTCTTCTAGGAAGGTAGATAGAATTTGCCCAGGAGGGCGGTAAATTACCACAACCTGGAGTTTTACAGGAGCTGTTATAGTGATCACATGAGATTCAAATGAGTTATAATTGCATAGGGGAGAGTGGGTTGAGTATTTCCAATTGTTAGAAATGAGCAGACCAGTGCCCCCACCAAGATGTAGGTGACTTTGTTTCTTCAGTACAACACAAACAAAGATTTTTAACTCTAAAACCCTTGCAGTCTTTTCAGTCATATAATGGAAGTGAATGGGAATATAAATACTGTTCAGTTTCTTGCACAGACCGATCGTTTCGTGTCTTTACACATCAATGTATCGTCACGAGCCACAGGGTTTAATTTGGTTTTGTTTGTGTGTTTTTTTTGACTCTCAAATCTGTGATTCCCATTCACTTCCATTATATGACTGACAGACTGCAACGGTTTGAGTTAAAAATCTTCGTTTGTGTTCTACTGAAGAAACAAAGTCACCTACATCTTGGATGCCCTGGGGGTAAGCAGATAAACATCACATTTTCATTTTTGGGTGAACTATCCCTTTAAATGGACTTGTTTAAAAAAACAACAACTGACTTAATAAATACTTATACATTTACGTATACATATACATGTATTTTACTCACTATTTACTGTTTTTTCAAAAACAGTGTTACTTGGTTTCTTTAGACCACAGAAGTGTCAATGTAGGTTTTGGATGTGCTTTCTATTTTTGGTGAACAACTATTAATTTGAATTTTTATAACGTGATTAATTGTTTTAAGGCACTCTGGAGGGGTCATCGTTCAAGAAAACATCATGACACAAGCAAAGTCATTTCCATGAGGCGCCGTCTCAGGGAAGTAAATCGGGGGGTGAAGGAAGAGGACAAGCTGTGTAACAAGACTGCAACAGCACTAAGCTACCTGCTTGGACTTCAAAATTATGCGTACATTCTTGCAGCCTTGAAACATTTGGGTAAGACCTTGTTTTTAAAGTTTGGAGGCTGGCTGATTCATAAAATGACAGCTAACGTTATCTTTTTGTCATGGTTAAAGAAACTGCCACAAGACATTCTCCTGAGTGCTGTGAACGTCTTGTTGAAAGCGGAGCAACACACACCATCTTCACTCTGATAAGGAGCTGCAACAGAAGTGTGCCTTCAATGGAGATCATCATATTATCCATCCAAGTTCTTCTCAACTTATCAAAGGTATGTTGCCTCAATTAAGGAATTAGGTTTGTTAGTTACAAATTTGTATGAAATCACTTAATATGCTGATTAATTTATTGCATTTAACATTGTTAATTTTTGCTTTTTTCAATATATTTTTCAGTACAACAGAACCATTGATGCAGTTTATGATGTAGACAACTCTGTAGAAACCCTCCTGGATCTTCTGCAGATCTACCGGGAGAAGGCTGGAGATAAGGTTGCAGAAAAAGGTGGCAGCATCTTTACCAAGGCTTGTTTTCTCTTGGTCCTCTTAGTCCAGGATGAAAGGAGAGCAATGGTGGGTGTTTTGC